AACCCACAACCTGGGTATGTGCACTGAACAGGAATTGAACCTGCAAATTTTTGGTGTACAGGACAACAATCAAACCAACTGAGCTACCCAACCTGGGTCTGAGTCATTATTTTTAAATAATATTAATAATATTAACCTTAGAGGGCCCTTATGAAGACTATGCAAACTAGTTTTTTAAGCGTCTGTATTACCATGAAATATATAGGTGCTTAGTAATTGAAAGTCTCTCTCTACCCTGTATATCCCTATCTTATTTGGCTTTTCTCAGAACTCTTTGAAATGTACTGTCCCTAATGGTAATTGGGTTAATGCTTTTTTTCCCTTAATTCTCAGATATCATTCCATTTTAATGATCCAAACCAGAAGAAATGCAAAATCTCAGGCTCACCCCAGTCCTAATGAATTGGAATATGGCTTTTAACAAATTCTTCAGGTGATTTGTTGTTGTTTTTTATCCTTACCCTAGGACATTTTTCAATATTTTGTTCAGATAGGGAGGGGGAGAGAGAAAGAGACAGAGACAGAGAGAGAGAGAGAGAGAGAGAGAGAGAGAGAGAGAGAGAGAAACATCGACATGAAAGGGACACATCGAGTGGTTGCCACCCACAGGACCCAATCAGAGCCTGGGATAAACTGCAACCGAGGTACGTGCCCTTAGCGGGAACCGAACCCAGGTATTCTCCAGACTGCGGGCCAATGCTCTAACCGCTGAGCCGAACTGGCCAGGGCTCTCCAGGTGATTTGTAAGCACATTAAAATATGGGAAGCACTGAACTGGTAGCTACCTCAAACTTAATATAGCTAAAACAGAGCCCACACACCCTCTCCAAATCGGCTCTACCCCAGGTTTTTCCATCTAAGTAAATGACATCACCCACACGTTTATGCCCAAAACTTGGGAGTCATCTTTGATAGCTCCCTCTCCTGTGTCCTCCATGTCTAAGCAATCACCAAGTCTACTTCCAAAATATTTCTGCACCTACCCCTTTCCATCTCTACACTCATATCTGGACCACCATCTTCCCTCACCAGCATTATAGCAGCTGGGGCTGACTTACCCAGTAGGCACAGCAGGCACAGTGTCTAGGCCCCACCATGCTTTTAGGAGACCTCAAAAACATTTTAGTTTAAAATTATAAGAAAAAAACATTCAGGTTAAAGAAAATGTTTTAATGTATAATATTCATAAATCTGTCTTTGTATCAACAATCATAAAATACAATTTTTAATATTGTTTTTATGGAGAAAGGGGCTTATGAATGCAAAAGTGCTTAGAGTCCATGAAAAGTCATAATGGGGCCCTGGCAGCAACAACCTTTTATTTTATTTTATATTTTTTTTAAATATTTTTCTTCATTGATTTTAGAAAGCGAGAGAGAGATAGAAACATCAATGAGAAAGAACGTCAATCAGCCACCTCCTGCATACCCTCCACTGGGGATGGAGCCCACAACCTGTGCATGTGCCCAGACCAGGAATCAAATTGGCAACCTCTTGGTTCATGGATCGATGCACAACCACTGAGCCACACTGTCCTGGCAGCAACAACCTTTTTAACTAACTGGTTTTTCTCTTTCATTCCTGCATCTGTATAATCCACCCTCCATTCAATAGCCTAAGTTATTCCTGTTATGGTCTTTTTTTTTTTTTTTTTTTTTTTTTTTTTTTGCATTAAAGTATAACTTCTGGCCCTGGCCGGTTTGGCTCAGCGGTTAGAGCGTCGGCCTGCGGTCCAGAGAGACCCGGGTTCGGTTCCCGCTAAGGGCACATACCTCGGTTGCAGTTTGTCCCCGGCCCTGGTCGGTTGTGCGGGTGGCAGCCACTCGATGTGTTCCTTTCACATCGCTGTTTCTCTCTCTCTCTCTGTTCCTCTCTCTCCCTCCCACTCTACCTGAACAACAAATGGAAAAATGTCTTCGGGTGAGGATAAAAAAAAAAAAAGTATAACTTCTGTAAGTAAACTGCACAGATCTTAAGTGTAGTATGTGATGAATTTTTACATAAATATACACTCAAGTAACCACCAACCACATCAAGATACTAATCCTTCTCAAAATTTTATTTTGAGTCATGACATCCCCTTATATAAAATCCTTCCATGCTTTCCCAACCCACTCAGAATAAAATCAAACTTTCAAACCTGGTTTACAAAGCCACATGTGATCCAACCCCTACCTATTTTTCAAACTTCATCTTGTATCCCACCTTTACCATACTCCAGCTACCAGCCTTTAAGTTCTTCAACTTAACCCTAGATGGTTTGGCTCAGCAGTTGGAGCATCATCCCAAGGACCAAAGAGTAGGTTTGATTCCAGTCAAGGGCATGTACCTCTGTTTGATCCCCGGCCCTGGTTGGGGTCCTGTGGGAGGCAAGCAGTCCGTGTGTCTCTCTCACATTGATGTTTCTCTCTCTCTCTCCCTCCCTCCCGCTCTATGTGAAAATCAAAGGAAAAATGTCCCCTGGTGAGGATTAAAAATAAAATAAAATAAAAATAAAGTTTTCAACTTACCAAGATATTCCTGCCTTGTACTTTTGGGGTTTGTTTGTTTTTTAATATATTTTTATTGATTTTTAGAGAGGAAGGGAAAGGGAGATAAAAACATGGATCAGCTGCGTCCTGCATGCCCCCTACTGGGGATAGAGCCTGCAACCTGGGCATGTGCCATGACCAGGAATTGGACCAGTGACCTCTTGGTGCATGGGAGGATGCTCAACCACTGAGCCACACTGGCTGGGCTGCCTTGGAGCTTTTGATCTAGCTGTGCATCCTCGGCCTTCTCCTAAAGCTCCTCGTAAAGATGTTTACAGGGCTAGCTGCTTGTTTTTGTTTTTGTTTTAGCTGCTTGTTCAATAAGCTTATTGTCTATTTGAAAAATCTTTATAGAAAATTTTTGTTTGGTTTATTAGCTCTCAGCAGCCCTTTCCTGAGTTCTATGGAAGCTTGCTTTCTTCTGAGCTACCCAATCTTTCTTCTGGGCAAAAGACATTTTGGGATGGTTCCATGTCTCCTTTTTAACTTCTTTCTTGGGCTTCTTCTCATAGACTGGATTCTTTCATATAGCAGCATAAGTTTGTTTTTGTTTTTTAATTTCTTTTCTTTATTGATTTTAGAGGGAGAGGAAGGGAGAGGGAGAGAAAGATAGAAACATTGATGAGAAAGAACATCAATTGGCCACCTCCTGCATGCTCCCCACTAGGGATTTGGTCCACAACCTGGGCATGTGCCCTGACCAGGAATCAAACTGGCGACCTCTTGGTGCATGGGTTGATACTCAACCACTGAGCCACACTAGCCAGGCAGCATGAGCTTTCTTATACATCTCCATCGTGTCTGGAGTTATGTTGTTCTTTATGTATTGAATCATTTCTTATAAGCATCTTCTTCTATTAGATAAAGCATGTAATCTGCAACATCTGACCCATGATGTGCTTCTGATGTACTTCTGCATTGAATTCCTTGCTTTCTGAATCATAACCAGGGAATCGTTTGGTACTATGAGGGGTAGATAAGCCTCCATCCACAGCTCCCTTCAGGACCCCAAAAACTTTATTTCCAGTAGTAGTTCTGACAAGTCCTACATCCTAATAGCAGGTGAAGGCACCAGGTTGACCATCAATGCTTTTCACATTGTATTCATCTCCAGTCAGCTCCACCTAAACTTCACAGACCTTGTCCATGCCAAACCTATGGAGAAACCTGTGGGCCAGCAGCAAGTCAGTACAACATGCTGCAGCATAATTTGTCAGGCCAACCTTCACACCATACTTTGGGAGTTTATTAGCATAAACTGCACAAACTATCATATCTCCTTCTATATGGGCATAAGCAATCTGACAAATGATATCTCTGTTGGTTAAATGAGCTATCATCCTGTATTTAGGTGTGTTGTACTTATTTTTATCCTGGGTTACCAAGGATTTCTGGGCATAGTAATCAGTTTTTACCTCTCGTCATCTTCTAAATTTCACTTGGTATTTCTTGAAGTACTCATTTTTGACAACTTTAACAAACCCCATCCTGTAGAACAGAGACCTGTGTCCACAGATCACAACAGACCTGCAGGCCTAGCAGGAATGGCTATTTGTAATTCACATCTCAGTTTAAATGTCACTTCCTCAGAGGCCTTCCCTGACTAGGCAATCTAAAGTTGCCAACAGCCACCTTTTATTAAAATCACCTTAATTACCTAGAGTGCTTATCTTTCCCTCACTGGACTATAACCTCCTTTGCAGCGGTTTTGTTTTCTCTTGTACTCGAAAAAGCCAGTAACAGCGCCTGACACATGGTAGATCCTCAATGAAACTTCTCATTGAATGAAATGTTAATGTGAAAAATAAAATAAAATGAAAATAAAAATAAAATAAAATGTAGCATTAGCTGGAGAAGCATGGATAGCATTAGTCTGTGAAATTATTGACTGAACCTAGCCAGTAAAATGAAGGTCTAAATGAGGTTAAAAAAAAATTTTTTTTTTAATAAAAAACCATGACAATTAAGTGTTTTATATTTTTTACTTTGTTATTCCCTCTAAACCTGCCCAATTAAAACCATCTTTTCCCAGGAGTGTGGGTTTGTTTTACTTTAACAAAAACAAATTAAAAAAGAAACAGAATCTTCGCTTTCAGAAAATCAATTGTGGCACATCCATTCCGAGTTCCAGCCCGCTTCCATTCGGTCCCAGAGAAATGGCGCTAGCCAGCGCGGCCCGCCCCTTCCGCTTACCCCACCGACAGGAAGTCCGCCGATCAGGAGACCCCGCCCCGAGCTCAGACCCTGCCCCTCGTCGGCGCGTAATCCTACGTAACACGTTAGGGATTTCGCGACAGCCTGTGCCCCATCTCTTAGGCCACATGTCGCGCAGGTCTTCCGGTAGGACGCCGCACCACCTCCTTGCGCTGCTTTACGAACCTAGAGCAGTGACGCCCCGCCTCCTGTCTTACTCCTCACCTCCCCGCCCCCTCCCATTTTCGAGTCTCCTAGACCGGCGCTCCCGCTATAATCACGTGATTGCCTCATCCGGGTCCTTTGCGTTCTCTCTCCCTCTCCCAACATGGCGGCCTCAGGTGAGTGAGCGGCCGAGTGCGTCCAAGGACCGGGCTCCCAAGCCACTCTCTGAGCCTGATCTACTGATTCCCTGGAGTCGGGAAATGCTCCAAGTGGCACTGCTTCCCTTCGGATTTGGGGGCTGTGGCAGGCTGGCGACTTGGCCCTGTTAGGTTATCGCCTCGGAATATTTTGGGGGAGGGGAAAGACACCCTCCCCCTTACTCCCTTTTCACCCCATCTGCGTGAGGTTGGAGCGGGGGTAATAATGGACTCTGGCTTCAGTTGGAAGGAAGAAGAGGCACAGAAAGATACGCGGGAGGCGGGAGGCCTTCTGATAAACGCAAAGCACTGTGCCAGCGTGAAGGCGTGGAGGAAAGAAGGAGGCGGTTGGCGCGCGGACGGGTGCACGCTAGACTAGGTCTCCCAGGCGCGAGGCCGTTGCGGAGGGGAGTGGGGGCAGGGGAATGGGGGGGGCAGTTAGAACGCGAGCGCAAGTCGGTGGAGGGGCGGGGGATGGCAGTGGTGCGCGTGCGCGGTAGGCGAGCCGAGGGTAGTAGAGACGGGCGCGCCTTAAAAGCACGCGCGAGAGTGCAGATGGCAAGATGTTACGCGCCTGTGCTGCTTTTATGTTCTTCCACTTTCTGCTCTTCCCTTTTTAGAGTGTTGCCCAGCGTGTATATTTCAAGGGTTGTGTGTTAGTTTTGGAGTTTGAAGTTACTAGAGTTAGGTGGGGGTGGGAAACCCCCTGTAGTGCGCCCACGTGTTGGAGGAGAGGAAGCAAGGGTGGAGACCTAGATTTCTTTTAATTAAGTCAACACATTTTTACTGAGCACAAACTATGCTAGGCACGGTTCATGGTGATGGAGATACAGTGATGAATAAAATCAGATCCGTTGACAGCTTCCACTTTGGTTGAATTTTTATGGCTTCAGTGGTGGGGTTCAGCTCTTTAGGGAAAAAAAAGATAATTGCACAACTACTAGGAGGTGATTTAAAAATAATACTAGTTGCTGGAGTTGGTTTCTGTTTAGACTTATTGAGGGAATATCACTGTCATGCAAGTCTACTTGCATTTCTAATGGACTTAGCAGTGAATTGTGCAGCATTTTGTAGCAGTTTTAGTTTTGGGGATATACAGTGGGCATTCCTAATCTGAGGATTCAACCAATGGGGATGGAAAATATTGGGGGGGGGTTGTTTTGTTGCTGGCATATGCTATGTAGCTAGCTTATGATAGTTGTGTGTACTGAACTGTATACTTTATATTATTTCCTAAATAGTACAGTGTAACAACTATTTACATAGCATATACATTGTATTAGTATTAATAAGTAATCTAGAGATGATGTAAAATATGGGAGGGTGTGTAGTTTATATGCAAATACTGTGCCATTCTATATAAAGGACTTGAGCATATGAGGATTTTGGTATCCATGGAGGTCCAGTAACCAACCCCCTACCGTACCAAGGATTGACTGTAGTTCCTTTTCCCTGGCACAGCCTTGCATTCTACAAAACATTTATTGAACCCCTGCTATCTCTGGACACTCATTCATCACCAGGAATTTACCATCTCTGTTATTGCATAGGAGACTAAGAATTGTGTATGTCTTTGGAAAATGTTGAGGGAATTGAGGTACGTTTGAACATTATACTTTTTCATCAGTGTAGCTCTAGACAATTAACCAAGCACTTTGATGTCTTGTCTCATTTGATGCTCTGGGATAAATGTAGGCAGATGGTGGTATCTCCCAGCTGAAGAAAATGAAATTATTTGTTCATGGTCACACTGTATCCAGGTGGCAGAGCAAGGTCAAAATCGTTGAGACTCCTGACTTTTCTCCATTATCAACTTGGAAATAACAAGGTTGGCTTCCATGTCATAAGTTTGGGGTGGTGCTCAAAAGCTTCATCCAAAGTAAAGCACTTATTAAGCCTGGATTTGCCATCATGGCGGCTTAGTGTCATAGTGAAAAGGCTATACTCCCTTTATTCCATAACTTATGTGGGATTTTTATAAGTGGAAGACATGTTGGCAGTTTGTGTCATTCATTTTACAGAGTTGAGTGAAAACCAGACTGGTTAACAAGATTTGCTTAGTGATGTCTCCTTCTATTCCATATTTACTCTACCTCCTTAGAAGCCCTCATCTCCTTCAATTCCATAAATCTTTATAGATTGTGTACTGTGTGTAAAGGACACTATGCTAGTATCTGAGCACAGGGTTACATCTGACAGTTTGCCCTTGAGGAATTTGGAATTTGTCAAGTTTCTTTCCCCACTTTGAGTCTTTTCGCATTGACTTTGTTGAGTGACCAGTATTCCCAGATATTGGTCACTCAACCAATATGGCTGTAGTAATAAAACTATAAAATTCTCAGTGTAAATTCAGTATACTTCTTGATGTTAAATGTGTTTTATACAGGTTATTTTTGAGACTACAATGCTTTAAAGTTGGAAATAGTATATTTATGCCCACAAAAGAACTTTATCATTTGCAGAACACTTCGAAATGCCGTTATACATGGGATCTTGTGGTTTGTTTGTTTTTTTATAGAAAGAGGATGGTGTCCATTGATAGTTTCGTACAATGCTGAACCTTATAGTTAGTTAAAAATAGTTTCATTGCCCTGGCCGGTTTGGCTCAGCAGTTGGAGCATTGGCCTGTGGACCAGAGAGTCCCGGTTTCGGTTCCAGTCAAGGGCATGAACCTCTATTGTGGTTTGTCCCCGGCCCTGGTCGGGGTCCTGTGTGAGGCAACCAGTCGATGTGTCTCTCTCCCATCAATGTTTCTCCCTCCCACTCTTACCTGATGATAAATGGAGAAATATCCTTGAGTGAGAATTAAAAAAAAAAAAAAAATAGTTTCATTGGTTGCTATTTATGTTGTTCACATATTAACTATTTTCAAATCCCATCCTCTACCATGTATGTTATTCTGGGAATAATATACCCAGAATCAGAAGGCCAAGATTAAAACTTAATGAAAATTCAAGTACAAATACAGTGAGTATTGTCAAAATAGAAGTGTTTCTAAGTAATGTCATTTAAATACATACTTTTAAACAGCTTTGAGATATAATTCACATACTATATATGTATGTCTTGAGATAGAGTGCCCTACTGCTTGGTATTAGTCTCAAAACATCCTAGAACTTACTCTCTTTTCATGATGGTATGGGAAAGAATGAACTTCAGGTGTTTTGTTTGTTTTTTAACCAAGTGCTTATTTGTAATTAAGTATGTGTATGTACATTTACCAGTGCACACACCAAAGTCAGTTTAGTCAGTTTCTCAGATTTGTGATAGATATTGCTATGGTTTTAATGGTAGGAAAATGCCCAAAGCAAGAAATTATTCTTGAATATTCATAGCTCCTCTCTTACAGAGAAGCTCCAAGTACTTTGTTTAATGGTTAGCATGACATGTATTAAGTGCTTATCTTTTATTTTTTAATGTGAATTATCAAATTGAGTGGAGAGGTAAGGAAGAGGCAATAGGCATTTTCTTCAGATTGTGTCAAGATGAAATTGGGCAGAGAAGAGGGGTTCATATATAACTGAACACGGGTTGAAGTGGTGGAGTTTATTAGTCCTGACTTAGTCTTTATTCTGTACTGTGCAGTAAAGGTGAGGCCTCACAACAACATGAGCATTGTATGAAACCGCTTTTCATGTCTGGGCTCTAAACAGCCGCATGATTACTCTAGTTCTAGGCACTCTGGTATTTGGGTGTATTGATTGCATTTATACGATACTGTTTCTTTAAGGAAATGTTTTTGATCACTAACACATTTTTAATTCTGGAGGATTTGGCAGGATTCACTTCCTAAAAGAAACACTCATGCCCGGCTGGTGTGGCTCAGTGATTGAACATCGACCATGCACCAAGAGGTTACCAGTTCCATTCCCGGTCAGGGCACATGCCCAGGTTGTGGGCCTAATCCCCAGTTGGGGGCATGCAGGAGGCAGCCAAGGGATGTTCTCTGTCATGGATGTTTCTATCTCTCCCTCTCCCTTACTCTCTCTTGCAAATCAGTTTTTTAAAAAAGAAAGAAACACCTTATCCATTAACAGTCATTTATCCTCTCCCTCCCCCCAACATTAATCTGTTTTTTTGTATTTACTTATTCTGAATATCTTATACAATGTGTGGACATTTTGTTATTAACTTCTTTCACTTAGCATTTTTTCAGGGTTTACCTATATTGTAGGATGTGTGGAAACTCAGTCCTTATTGCCAAATTGTATAGACACTTGTATTTGTTTATCAGTTGGTGGACATTTGGATTGTTTCTAGTGTTTTGCCTATTATGAATAATGCTGCCTATGATTTTTTTTTTTTTTTTAATCCTCATCCGAGGACATTTTTCCATTTTTTGTACAGACAGAGCGGGAGGGAGAGAGAGAGGAAACATCGATGTGAAAGAGACACATCGAGTGGCTGCCACCCGCACGACCAACCAGGGCCGGGGACAAACTGCAACCGAGGCACATGCCCTTAGCGGGAACCGAACCCGGGCCTCTCCGGACCGCAGGCGGACGCTCTAACCGCTGAGCCAAACCGGCCAGGGCGCCTATGATCTTATATAGGTTTTTATGACACTTGCTGCCTTCCTAAGTTTGTGGTTACTAAAACATTCAGAAGAGTTATAACCCTATAAAATAAGTCTGACAAGATCTAAAATTAAGAAACTTAATTTTAGATAAAACCTCATCTGAATATTAAGAGCTATGTGAATTCCCCTTCCTAAATAAGAAGTACTAGATTAAGTAAGATGCAGGAGTGGAATGGCATTGTACAATCAATAAGCTTTATTGCTTACCGTACTTTATCATGTCCTCTGTTTTGAAATAGAGAACTAGCAGCCAGTCTATAGATTTTATCACTCCAATATCTGCCAGTTAGTGCTTTTATTACTAATACAATGGAGTAATAACAAAAACATCCTGAGAAAAATAAAGAAAACATTTTTTTACATGCTACAACCTGATAATTCTGAGTACTTGGTTTATTGCAGTCACTTCTCTGCTACTATACTTTATGTAGGACTAATGTTTCCTTTTATATTTATTGATTTGAAAATAACACTTAGAACAGTGGTTCTCAATGAGGGGCAATTTTGTCTCACCCAGGGGCATTTAGCAATGTCTGGATGCATTTTGGTTATCACAGTAAGGTGGGGATTTTCCTACTGGCATCTAATGAGTAGAGGCTAGAGATGCTGGTAACATCCTACAATGCACAGAACAGCCCCCTCAACAAAATTACCCAGCCTACAATGTCAGTGGTGTAGAAATTGAGAAAACTTGAGTTGATTGTGTTTATTTTTGTATATATAGTAACAAACCCCGTTTATTAAGAAGGCTACAGATTGTCTCTTATTTAAGGACTTGTAGACTGGGGGAAAAGGAGAAACATCTGTAACAAAAACAAATTAATAAAATATATTTTTTTTAAAAAAAAAAGGACTTGTAGACTTACTTTTGAAAAAAGACTCTTTTTAATATCTTTCACTTAACCTATATCAGTATATAAAGAGCTTCACAAGTATAGTTGGCCCTCTGTATCCACAGGTTTCATACAGGCAGATGTCACCAATCGCTGATGGGAAAAAATATTAGGGGGAAAGGGTTATGTTTGCCGGCTTGTACTGTGTAGTTAGGTCTGCAATGATTGTACCTGTATAGACAATGTACACTTTTTTTCCCTTGTCATTATTCCCTAAATACTATTTACATAGCATCTATATTGTTTTTGGTATTAAGTAACCTAGAGATGATTTAAAGTATGCGGGAGGATGGTTTAAAGTACACCATTTTATATAAGGGACTGGAGCACCTAAGGATTATGGTATTCATGGGGGAAGGGGCTGGAACCAATCATCCATGGTTACCTAGAGGTCACTGTACCCATGCTTGTTCAGTAAATTACATTGTAATTGAGGCATCAGGCAGTTAGAGGATTTAATAAAACATCTGGGACATGTGTCGTTGTCTTCTCCCCTTACCCCCTTAGTTCATGTGGGTTAGGTTTTTAACTGGGGCGTGTTTTGTGAAGTGTTTGGTTTCACTTTTTAACCAATTCCATTAAAGAAAAATAAGAGTTGGACCAATTCGATCATTGTGAGAAGGGATTGATAAACCTGGGGTATGACACGATGTTTTATTTATAAAGAAGAGGAGAACATTGTTGAAATCCTAAACATGTTATGGGCCTAGATATTGGAGTAGCAAAGGACATAGAGGATTTAGATAACTTCTTTTCTCAGATTTTGGAGTAAAATAGAGTGAAGTAAACATTGGCATCCACTTTAGATTTATTGATTTTACTATTTAAAGTCTAGTTCCTTTAAGTCTGTTGCTTATATTTTGACTGAGTCAGTGCTGCTAGATTTAAAGAAACTTGTTAGAAATCTTGTGAAAGAATTTTAGCCTGTCTTTAAATAAAATCAATCATTATCCAATATGGATTTCTCAACCAGAAATTTTTAGAGGGGGTGATGACAGAATCGGGAAATGGACATGTATGATTTGAAAAGGCATTCTAAAATAGTGCTTTGATTTCTTTAGTCATGATATTTAGTTTATTATTTTTGAAATTTCAAACAACATAAAAGGAGGGCGGGAGACTTGTTTGTCAAGAGTCATGGGGTAAAAGTTGAGAAACCCTGATCGAGAAAGTTGATTTAAGCCAAAATCAGACCAAAGGGCAAGTTAATTTCAGATTCTGCTGTTTGGGTATTAGACATGTATATAGAACAAAGGGGGAAAGAGTACCTTAATCAAATTCTTTTTTTTTTTCTTTTTTTTTTTATCCTCATCCGAGGACATTTATTGTTCAGGTAGAGTGGGAGGGAGAGAGAGGAAGAGAGAGAGAGAGAAACATCGATGTGAAAGGGACACATCGAGTGGCTGCCACCCGCACGACCGACCAGGGCCGGGGACAAACTGCAACCAAGGTACACGCCCTTAGCGGGAACCGAACCCGGGTCTCTCGGGACCGCAGGCCGACGCTCTAACCGCTGAGCCAAACCGGCCAGGGCTCAAATTCTTATTAACCTTATGTTGAACTTGGTCTCATTGTATGGACTAACCACAAGTTCTGTTCTTATTGTCCTAGTGACCAGACAGATACAGCTGATGATACTAGGTTACATCCTATGGGGGTAAGGCTTTCTAGCTAGCATCTTATTAGTCCCAGATACTATTTTTTAACTAGAGGATATAGAGAAGACTAAAATACGCCTATACACTATAAGCATTCTACCTCAGAGTTATGCTTTATGTCTTATTCAGTTAACTTTAAAATTTCCCTTTGGTCTTTACATATGAGCCAGGAGCAGCAGTATCACTGCTATGATACCCAGCCTCTGTGTAACTGATTTCTTTGGAAGCATAGAATAGATCCAAAATATAACCTGGTTGGTTATAGGTTATACTTTTGGAGCAAGAATAGTATTAATTTACTTGACAGAAACCTGGAAATGTCCCATTCAAGGCCATCTTTTCCCTGTACTGCAGCCAAGTTCATCTGGTTTGCACACTGAAACCATGATACCTGAAGTTCTTATTATATCCAAAAGATTGTTCATAACATTCATAGCAAACAGGTCTTTATTTCCCATAAGATGGGGTTTCTTTTAAAGTCTGGTACCAAGTGAGAAAAAGCACCCTTTTTAGTTAAGCAAATGGTGCATCAAGTTACAGATTCTTAGTCCTCTTGGATTGAAAATTAGAGGAGAGTTGGAACATAGAGGAGGAACTCATGACTATAAAAGCCATGAAATTGATCTTTGTTACAACAAGGCTTCTTACGTTCTTACCATGTAGCGACTGCTCTCGGGCCAATTCTAGAACTTCAGTTAGTCATTTCAGCTCTTCTGCATTAGCTGTTGATTGGTGCCATCTTAGAAGTTCTGAGGACTAGATAGTCAAAGAGCCAAGGTCAGTCCACTAAAGAGTCATTTGGAGATTCTAGAAGATTTCATGACTGGAAAGCATTTAAATGTGTTGGTTCTTAGGGATTTCTTATTTATTCCCTTTAGTAGGATATCTCGTTTTCCTATGTGGTGTTGAGGTGGGGAAGGAGATAATTTTTTTTCTAGAGGGCAGAGCAATCCAGCTGTGTATATGAATCTTGCCATTTTAAAACTTTCAAATGACAGGGAGTACAACATTTTACCATGATTATTATAGCCTGCCATAGAACTAGTAACAAGCCTCTTAGATGCTAGGGCTCTTGTGGGAAGAGCCCTATGCTTGGTATCCAAAACCCTGGGTTTAATTCTAGCTCTACTATCTAATAGTTCTGTAACATCAGGATAGTCATTTTATCTCTTGAGTCTTAATTTCCTTTTCTGTAAATTTTGATAACTAGTGATTTCTACCTCACATGGTTATTTTACAAGTATCAAATAGTTTTCAAGTGCCATACAGAACATGATGTTAGGGATATGGATTTTGTTTTTATTTCTTTGTATCCCGGGAACAACGAATATAGTAACCTGTCTAAAATACAGATAGTTGCTAAATTAAAAATCTCAAGCCCTGACTGGTGTGGCCCAGTTATTAGAGCATTGACCCGAGCACCAAAGGTCTCGGGTTCAATTCCCGATCAAGGGCACATACCTGGATTGCAGGTTCAATTCCCACCCCGATTGGGCTATGGAGGGGGCAGCCAATCATTGTCTCTCTCACATAAATGTTTCTCTCTCTCTCCTTCCCTCCCTTCCTTTCACTTTCTCTAAAGAAATCAATGGAAAAAATATCCTTGGGTGAAGATTAACCAAAAAAAGAAATCTCAGGTGATATATGAGTGAATATAGTAGGAAATAAAAGGTTGCCCCTACCCCATCCTTTCTCCACAGAAAACACACTTGAAAATTCCTTCTAGACCCTTTTCCATATATAAGGATAATGTGTGTTTAAACAAAAGGGAGTTGCATAGTATGTATTCTGCAAAATTTTTTCTTATTGGCACCAGTATATTGTGTTTTCTCCTTATTTATATCTGCATAGTGTTTCTTTATATAAATGTGCCATGATCCAATTCTTTGATGTTGCTTTGTGTGTTTTTTGTTTGTTTTGTTGTTTGAGAGAGAGGAAGGGGGGGAGAGAAAGAGACAGAGACATCTATCAGCTACCTCCTGCATACCACCTACTGGGAATTGAACTGATGGCTTCTCAGTGCCCTCTGCTGAGCCACACCAGCCAGGACCATTTAACAGTAGTGCTTTGTACAACCTTGTAAATGCCCAAGTATTGATGAATAACCTTTCTCACCTTTTTTTAACAGCGAAAAAGAAGAATAAGAAGGGGAAGACTATCTCCCTAACAGACTTTCTGGCTGAGGATGGAGGGACTGGTGGAGGAAGCACCTATGTCCCCAAACCAGTCAGCTGGGCTGATGAAACAGATGACTTGGAAGGAGATGGTAATTTTTACTTTCCATCATACTTGGAATTTGTATTATCTTCCAGGCAAAACCTATTTCATAATAGTGTTTTACACTTGTAATTTGAAAGGAACTTACTCATTTTGTGGAACCTGAATCTCATGTTTATGTATTTTACGAAATTTTAGGTTTAGGCTTTAAGGGTTTGTAATAGGAACCAAAGTGGTGATTTAAGAGAGCTAGTTCTGGCTCTTGCATTAACAGATTTTTCTTCAGATTTTTCTACTGTCCCTTCAAATCTTATTCTTCATTTGAAAAGTAAGAACCAGATTATTTCCTTTTGGGTCTAAATTTCTGTGAAAAAGTGAATTGCAATGTAATCTATAAGCTGTTTACACTCAGTCAAGGAATAATTTGTTCTAGGAGCTGTTGGTATGAAGTCACAGTGTCCCTGGGTAAATAAAAGTGGTCTGAAGAAAGGAAATAGGAATAGTAATTATGGTGGGAAAATATAGAAGTGTCATTGGGGTATCATTTGGACAAGTTTCTATACCTTCAAGGAGTAGCCAGGAACAGGCAGGAGCTATATATAATCACTACCCATCATTGTTTTTCTAAAAGCTTTCATAGTAGACTGAAGAATACTTTTTTTTTATTATGACCTATTTTTATAATTGCACATAGATTGTACTTTACATAAGTATTGATATTTCAGGTGCAAATTCATGGGCAGTGCTATTGGGACAGAATTGATCTTTTTTTAAGTAGTTTTTGTTTTTCTTTATTGCTTTTAGAAAGAGAGATAGAAACGTCGATGAGAAAGAACATCAATTGGCCACTTCTTGCATGCCCCACACAGGGGATTGGGCCCACAACTTGGGCCTGTGCCCTGACCAGGAATGAACCAGCAACCTCTTGGTGCATGGGTGGATGCTCAATCACTTAGCCACACCCACTGGGCAGAATTGATCTTTTTTAGGGAGGGATGGGGAGAGAGAAAAACATCGATGTGAGAGAGACACATTGACCGATTGCCTTCCACACATACCCCAGATGGGGCCAGGGATCAAACCTGCAACCCAGGTACATGCCCTTGACTGGGAATCGAACCCATGACCCTTCAGTGCGTGAGCCAACACTCTTAACCACTAGGCCACACTGGCCAGCTGGTTTTTTGTTGGTGGTGGTGATGGGTTTTTTGTTTTTTTTTTAATAAAGGGAAGATAAACCATGAAGAAAACACTTTCTTTAGCTTGAAAAGTAAGAATGAGCTGTTCTTGGTGGTTAAGTAACTTTGTAATAAGAGGGACCCAAGTCAGAATCCTAGTTCTACCAGGATTACCCTCTACTATGTGACCTTGGACAAGTTACTGGACCATCCTGAAATCTGAGTTTCCTTCTCTGTAGAATGGGGAACAATCTCACAGGATAGTTAAAAAGATAAGATGGGATGTAATGAATATGAAGTACCTGGCAGATAGTAACATTCTGTAAAGAGTAGTTGATATTCTATCATTTTTCTACATAAGGAATAACCATCACCATGATTCTGTTAATAAAAGCCTGGGCCTTGAAATACTTGGAATCAAAGAAACTGAGTCTTTTTGCATTGCTATTCTGAGTCTAACATTACCTGTTTCATTCTTGAGGTAGCTCATTTAACACTTGGCACTTAGCACAGGTGCTCTTATTCTACAGTGAGTGAAATTTCCTCTAATTTATGTCCACTTTTCTATCCTAGTTTCAACCACTTGGCACAGTAATGATGATGATGTATACAGGGCACCTCCAATTGACCGTTCCATCCTGCCCACTGCTCCACGGGCTGCTCGGGAACCCAATATTGACAGGAGCCGTCTTCCCAAATCGCCACCCTACACTGCTTTTCTAGGGAACCTGCCCTATGACGTGACAGAAGACTCCATTAAGGAATTCTTTAGAGGATTAAATGTAAGTCTAAAGGTTTAGGCAATTAAATAGATATGTAGGGTAGTATATTGATAGTGACTGTCTGATTTTCTATGTTCAGAAAGATCCTAAGGTTGTGTCTAGACTTGGAAGAATATGTATAATTAAATGGTATTGAAGCTTTTTGGCTGTGAATGTTCTTATCCAACACCAGTCAGACAATCTCAGAAAAATTAACAATACCTTATTGATACAGAGAGGGTCAAAAACCTGTACCCCTTCTTGTTAAGAAACTTAAAGGTGATGTACCCACTTAAATGTTCAAAGGTAGAAAGTTTCTCTGAACTCAGCCATTGTTAATGACATTCAGGCTTATATCAAAATACTTACTAATTTTTTATAAGAATACATTTAAGCCCTGGCCGGTTTGGTTCAGCGGTTAGAGCGTTGGCCTGCGGTCCAGGGAGACCCGAGTTCCGTTCCCGCTAAGGGCGCGTACCTTGGTTGCAATTTGTCCCTGGCCCTGGTTGGGTCGTGCGGGTGGCAGCCACTCGATTTGTCCCTTTCACATCAATGTTTCTCTCTGTTCCTCTCTCTCCCTCCCACTCTATCTGACCAAAAAATGGAAAAATTTCCTCAGGTGAGGATAATAAAAAAAAAGAGAGAGAAAACATTTAATTTAGCAGACGTATAATTTATATTAACGTTTGCTCACATATAATTTACAGTGTTTATAAGCCTGCTTTAAAAGTTTAGGTAATTTTTTTTATTAAATTTATTGGGGTGATAGAGGTTTCAAGTGTAGTCTATGATATATGATCTGTATATTGCATTATGTACCCACCACCCAAAGTCAAGTCATCTTCTGTCACCATATGTTTAGCCCCCTTTACTATCTCCCTACCATCCTTCCCTCTGGTAACCATATTACTGTTGTCTGTGTCTCTGAGTTTGAGTTTTATATCCCACATATAAATGAAATCATATGGCTCTAAGCTTTTTCTGACTGACGACTTTTGCTTAGCATGATCCTGTCAAGGTCCATTCATGTTATTGGTAGTATTTCATCTCTTATGGCTGAGGAGTATTCTGGTGGTACATTTCAAAATGCTGGTCTTGAAAGTTCCAGAGTGGAGAGGTGCTCAGAAGTTCTTTTTTCAAGCTTTGATTTAAAAATACTTAGTACTTTTTAAAAAATAAAACAATGAGTAACAGGTTTCAGTTCTATTAGGTTTTTTCTCAGTCTTTGCAAATGAGAAAACATTTAAAAATACATTTAAAAGTTGTTCCCTTCTGTCCTGTGGTTGGTTTTTTGGTGTGATTATTTTTGACTGCCATCTACAAATTGTTCTCTCTGTTTAATTATGTAGACCAACTAGAAGGCTGGCCTGTTCTTGATTTCTCTCTAGTGGCCTCTTTTTGTAGAATGTTGGATGAAATCTTTGGTCTGTTCAGACCTTTCACCTTTATGTTCTAGAACTGGTGTTTAGCTACTTCCCCCTTTCATATTGAGTTCCTTTTTCTACTACCTCGTGAGTTGAATTCAATTAGAATTTTTAAAAAGCTAACAAAATCTATATCTCAAGAGAGCCAGCATAAATATCAAATCAGAAGATAAACTTCAATATAGTAAATCAAAAGGGTAAGGAAAACAGATGTAGATGACAAGAAAATAGTCAAAAGTATTTGAAAACTGTCTTTAAGTTCAACATGAGTGCATAACCTGTTATAAACAATTAATAAATAAAAATTAGTGCAGAGACTGTCTTATGAAACTTTAAAGGAAAGAAACCTGCATTTATCATTATAAAGTACAAGTTAACCTCTAATTAAAACCAGGCTATTGTGAATTTTTTCCTGTGCCTTCAAAAAGTAAAGATTCAGTGGTTTGCCATCTCAGAATTCAGCAGAGGGGATAGGGGTGAGGGAATTTACAATCCAGTGTTTGTTTCTACCAAACTGTTAATGTATGAAGACAACGGTTCTCAGATAAAGGTTTCTGAAAAATATACTGCCCCAAAAATGTTTTAGCAATAATTTAGTTGACTTTCTGAAAGAAAAAAATTGGAAATATGTATTTAAATGAACTAAAATAAGACAAATAGAAGACTAAAATAAGCTAATTGTGGGATGGGCAGTTGTTATTGATTGCAAAATAACTAAAAACTTAGAAGCAAAAGTCAGGGACACAAGGAATACACTGAACTCATGTTTTGGGGGTTTTTGTTGTTTTAAGATTTAAATTCGTATTCAAGTTAAAGAGGTTTAATAGGACCTACAGTGATGTCTGTCTTCTATCCCTTGGCACCAGTTTTTTGCCTGGAGATAACCAGATATTTGTGTATTCAAATACATTCATTGTATATACTATAAGAGTGGTCAAAAGACAAATGAACCAGAATATTGATTTGGGAAACATTTTGTTTCTTTACTCCTTCAGATCAGTGCGGTGCGTTTACCACGTGAACCCAGCAATCCAGAGAGGTTGAAAGGTTTTGGTTATGCTGAGTTTGAGGACCTGGATTCCTTGTTCAATGCTCTGAGCCTCAATGAAGAGGTAAGGAAAATAGGGGTGGGGAGTTTGAGAGTGGGAGCTGACACATCTGGTGTTTATCAAACATTTTTTTAATTGGGTCAGTAGCTGTTTCAAAGGTTCCCAGAATGTCTACAAAGAAAAGCCTAGGTTATTTAACAATATAACACTTAAAAGTCACACCTCACTTCAGCAAGTTCAGCAGGCTTCAATAATTCAGGGAGGTACATAGGTTGGAAAATTGTGGAAATAATTCACCACACCAAGTCTTTTAATAGAATCTCACATTCATTCACTCACAGCTTTGCCTCAGCTCTCGTGGCTTTGCTTTTTCAAAATAATCTGACCAGATCAAGCCAAATAGAAAATTCATATTAATCAGGTTAGTATGAAAAGGCTTTATCTCATTTCAGGGAAGTAATGATGTTTTTTAAATAATTTTAAGAGTGTTTGGAAACATTTCTCACTTGAATGTTGTTTGTAACAAATGCATGCTTCTAGGAGTGTTCTACATTCAGTCCTACTTTTCAACATTGCCATCGATGTTTTCTATCCAAACACATTATAGGTTTAGTAGGGAGAGGGAATTCAGCTGCTAATGCCTGAGAGGGAATAGTGATTAAATCTAATTGTAATGCAGTTATTACAGGATTGGTGCTATGTAGCTATTCTAAGGCTACCCCAAGCAGGATATTGAAGCATTTATTTACCTTTTAGTGATTGAAGTTTTAATCTAGGAACTGCTTTTTTTTAAACCTCCAGTGACTTTAGAAATCAATCTATATCTGGGAAGGAAAAAATGCTTCTTTTCTCTTTTAATTCCAGAAATCCCTCATTGTTGAGAAGGCAATTGCCAGTGCCATTTGTGCCATAATTCTATGATCCCGAACTGCCGTTTGACATGATTAAAATCAACACCTCTTAAAATATTTTGCCTGTCTCATAATTACCACCTTGATAATCTCAAGTAAATGTTAGTTAGAAATAAAAATTCACTTATTTAATTAAATACATGAAAAGCTGAAGTTAATACAAAGTATTTATTCTCAGATCATTTTCAGATTTTTATTAACATTACTAATTCTTTTTTTTTTTTTTTAATCCTCCCCCGAGGACACTCCCATTTTTTTGTTCAGATAGAGTGGGAGAGAGAGAAACATCAAAGTGAAAGGGACACATCGAGTGGTTGCCACCCGCACGACCCAACCAGGGCCGGGGCCAAACTGCAACCAAGATACGTGCCCTTAGCGGGAACCAAACCCGGGTCTCTCTGAACCGCAGGCGGATGCTCCAACCGCTGAGCCAAACTGGCCAGGGCAACATTACTAATTCTTAACTTCTTGGTCTGGATTTTTAAAAAGAGTAGCATGCAATTATTATCTGAAGTTTGCTGGATTAACTGTTAAAATGTTGTCATGGTCCAGACTAAGGAGTTGCCGTGTATTTAGAGATTTTATTATAGTGGTATTTAGTTTAATTCTGGGTATTTTTAACTAAATTTCATTGTTATCCTTCTTCAACTGTAGATTCTACTATGAAATGAGGAAAAAACAGCAGTAGAATTAATTAGGTTCAAAGTATATAAAATGTGGGAAAGGGAAATCAGAGGGTATCCTGGAGGGACTGATTTACTCAAAGGTAACATTAAATGAAAGAACTTAAGATTATACACAAAATCCATGCTACATAATAAGGGCTCTGTAAATGTTTGATTGAGTAATTACTCTGGACCCAAATGTGTCTTTTATTTAGCTAGTTGTTTGGGAATTATTTTTAATTTCTTGTACTTGATATTAAATTGCCTTTTATGGTTGAAAAGTTAACTATGCTGTGAAATTCGGCCTTATAAAAATAGTAAGCTAATTGACCTGACATCATTTAAACCTAACTTTTGTTAATTCTGAGGGGTTATTTCCGTTTTCAAGTCTTTATAAAGGATTCTTTAGCCAGTAAATTGGAGTGTTGGGTAGATTACAGTGTTTTTCCTTTATCTTCCTTCCCCTAGTGCTTCTGCTATGCCCAGATGTTCAAGGTCACTCATGGGATTTGTGCATAATGGGGCAAAAGGTTGGTTAATATGGTCCTATGCTCTCAGTCTCTAGGTAACAGGAGAATTCGAGTGGACGTTGCTGATCAAGCCCAGGATAAAGGTAAGAAAGCTGATAGAAGTTCTCCTATTTTGTTATTGTCCTAGGATGACAAAGCAGGGGTGCCCTTTCCCATAAAATTTTAATCAAGTTAGATAATGATAGCTCTACCTTAATTTAGAGCAGTCGTTCTTAACTGAGGATGATTTTGTCCTAGGGGACATTTGTTAATGTTTGGAGACATGGTGGGTTGTCACAACTGGGGGAGTGCTATTAACATATAACAGAATCCAGGGATTAATCCAGTAGTGCATAGGACAGCCCCCCACAACAAAGAATAAGCCCGTTTAAAATGTTAGTAGTGTTGAGATTGAGAAATCCCGATTGACATAGGTGAGTGTTAAGTGTATAATAAATAGATTAGGTACTCAGTACTACATTGGACACAAGAGGGGTCTAATTTATGTATATATCAGGGCTCCTCCTATATAGAAGTTGAGACAGATAAGCATTAAGCCAGTAGGAGTAAATGTGAGGAAATACATGACTCAGTTGAGTTGGAAAGTGCACTTATCGGGTCTGGGGTAACTTCATGACTGTGCTGTGATATGAACAAGAAATATAGAAAATGGAGTGGAGTTTTCTGTGCACGCGAGAACTATTGAGCAAATGTTTCTGTGAGCTCACTTGTGGGCTTTCTTTTTTTTCTTTTTGCTTTATATATCTATAGATAGGGATGATCGTTCTTTTGGCCGAGATAGAAATCGGGATTCTGACAAAACAGATACAGACTGGAGGGCCCGTCCTGCCACAGACAGCTTTGATGACTATCCACCTAGAAGAGGTGATGATAGCTTTGGAGACAGTAAGTTCATTTTTATCAAGTTAATTTTTCTGTGTTCCTTTTTCTCTTTTTTTGGAGACAGTTGTTTATAAAGAAACCCAACAGATTCTACAAAGTATAAAGTACTCCAATTAAGAGTTCAGCAAGATTGATGGGTTTAAGAGTGTTATACAGTAAGTCCTCACTTGACATCATCAATAAGTTCTGCAATTTTAAGTGAAACAGCATAAAATGAAACCAGAGGCTAATTGATAGAAAAACAAGAGTTCCTACGTTATTGGAGAGCCTGCTATACAAAAATTGGTTGCATTACTAGCAGCAAACAGTCAAAATGTAAATTTTTAAAGACACCTTTGAAAATAAAATTCATTCAATTCAAAAATACTAAATGTCTGTCATGTGCCAGATACTGTTTTAAGTTCAGGCTATAGGAGTAAACAAAACAGATAAAATTCCTGTCCTCATTGGACATTGTTTATACTTGGGAAGAGAAACAATCTGCAAGTAAAAGATAATTTAAAGAAGGGGAATATTATGGGGTAGGAGTTGGGGTGAATTACAACTTTTACACATACTACCTAAATCAGACCCCATTGGGTTCACGACCCTTTCACAGGGGTGGCCTAAGACCATCGGAAAACACATATTTCCGATGGCGATTCATAACAGTAGCAAAATTACAGTTACGAAGTAGCAACAAAAATAATTTTGTGGTCGGGGTTCACCACAACATGAGGAACTATATTAAAGGGTTGCGGCATTGGGAAGGTTGAGAATCACTGACCTAAATCCTACAAAACCTTTGTAAAACATTTATGGAGCCCTGGCCGGTTTGGCTCAGCGGTTAGAGCGTCGGCCTGCGGTCCTGAGAGACCCGGGTTCGGTTCCCGCTAAAGGCATGTACCTCGGTTGCAGTTTGTCCCCGGCCCTGGTCGGTTGTGCGGGTGGCAGCCACTCGATGTGTCCCTTTCACATCGATGTTTTTCTCTCTCTCTCTCTCTGTTCCTCTCTCTCCCCCCCCCCCCACTCTACCTGAACAAAAAATGGAAAAATGTCCTCGGGTGAGGATAAAAAATAAATAAATAAATAAAACATTTATGGAGAAAATTAACGCAACTTTATTAAAATACATGAAGAAATACTCAACAGTGTTTGTATTTTTTAAATGGAAAGAACCTACTATTGAGTAAAGAAATGACTAAGTAGTAGTTTGTTCATAAATGGACTACTTTATGGTATAACATACATGTAACAACAGTGATAAAATTCAAAACCTATTAAGGGACCAAAAATATAGAAATTTGAAAACAGTATTATATAGTATTAATACACAAGTTGTGACCGTAGGCCAACGCTCTAACTGCTGAGCCAAACCGGCCAGGGCACAATCATTTTAATATCATCAAGTTTACTGCCTATCCAGAAATAAAAAAACATATTTCAGAATAAACAGCAGGGTTTTTTGGATGTTTGTTTTTTAATTCTGTTCTACTTTCCTGCAGATAATTACTTGACTAGTATTAGCATGTCATTTAATTTGTAAAATTTAAACTACCATGGAAGGTCTGTTCACAGACAAAATGATGTTCTTAGCAGAATGAAATCATTGTTTAAAAGGAAGCATTCATAAAATTACTATCCCCCTTTGGCCTATACACATCAATTATTAAACTTAAAATGTTTCAAGATTTATTTTTTAATGGTTCATGTTTAGAAATTGAGATTTTTTTAATGCAAAAATCTGGGTTCTCGCCCTGGCCAGTTTGACTCAGCGGTTAGAGCGTTAGCCCACGGACCAAAGACTCGTGAGTTCAGTTCTGTCAAGGGCATGTACCTTGGTTGTGGTTCAGTCCTCAGCCCTGGTCAAGGTCATGCGGAATGCAACCAATTGATGTGTCTCTCTCATATCATCGTTTCTCTCCCTCTCTCCCCCTCCCTACCCCTCTCCCCCTCCCTACCCCTCTCCCCCTCCTTCTCCCTCTATCTCAAGATAAATGGAAAAGTATCTTCAGGTGAGGTTTTGTTTGTTTGTTTGTTTGTTTTTAACTGGGTTCCCAGCTTCTCTCAGAAAATTGGAAGGTCTAGCAAGTCTTCTGAAGCTGAATAGTCACTACCCTCCTTTTTATAAATGAGGTTTACTGTTCACAGTTGCCACCTGAGCTACTGCATTTTTTTTTTTTTTTTAATTCTTACTTGAGGACATTGTTCCATTTTTTTTGTCGTTGTTGTTGTTAAGACAGAGTGGGGGAGAGGTGGGGGGAACATCGATGTGAAAAAGACACATCGAGTGGCTGCCACCCACATGACCCAACCAGGGCCGGGGACAAACTGCAACTGAGGTACGTGCCCTTAGTGGGAACTGAACCCAGGTCTCTCTGGGCTGCAGGCCAATGCTCTAATCTCTGAGCAAAACCGTCCAGGGCTACTGCATTTCTTCATACAAATTTCTAGCATTCAGTGTGGCCGGTGTGGCTCAGTGAATTGAGCACCATCCCATGGACTGAGAGGTCCTGGTTCGAATCTGTCAGGTCACATACCCAGGTTGCGGGCTCGATCCCCAGCAGGGGGCGTGCAGGAGAGAGCCGATCCATATTTCTGTCTCCTGTCCCCTCTCTCTAAAAAAATCAGTAAAAACATACAACCCTGGCTGGTTTGGCTCAGCTGATAAAGGATTGGTCCTCGGACTAAAGGGTCACAGGTTATGTTCCTGTCAAGGCAACATGCCTGGGTTGCAAGTTTCCCCGGCCCTGATCAGGGCTGTGCAGGAGGCAACATTGATGTTTCTCTCTACCTTCCTCCCTTCCACGCTCTCTAAATATATGTGTGTGTGTGTGTATAAATTGGAATAAACTTTTTTAAAAAAAATATTCAGATTTCTGACATTAAAGGCTTCTGACATTGATATTCATGTATGTGTGTGTAAAATACAGTTTATAACATAACTTTTTTCAAATAGTAGATCATGAACACATTTAATAATTACATTTCCCATTCATTTTATTTTAAATATGTTTTTATTGATTTTCTAGAGAGAGAGATAGAAACATCAATGAGAGAGAAACATGGATTGGCTGCCTCCTGCATGACCCTACTGGGGATCAAGCTTATAACCTGGGCATGAGCCCTGGTCCAGAATTGAATTGAACTGGCAACCTTTTGGTGCATCCCATTCAGTTTTTTTTTTATCCTCACCCAAGGACTTTTTTTTTTTATATTTTGTTCAGATAGAGTGTGAGGAGAGAGAGAAACATAGATGTGAGAGGAACATATCTACTGGCTGCCTCCCACACGACCCCAACCAGGGCCGGGGACGAACTGCAACCTGGTACGTGCCCTTGGCTGGAATCAAACCCAGGACTTACTCGTCCGCAGGCCAGTGCTCTATCACTGAGCCAAACTGACCAGGGCTGAACCTCCTTTTGTACATGTGTCCAGTTATTTGCTCAGGAAAAATTCCTATAATTTGAATTGTTGGCCTAGATGGTATGCATAATTTAATACATAGTTCTGAAACAACTTTGAGAGTGGTTGTACTATTTTAAAATCATCAACAGTGTAGGAATTGACTTTCTCTTCTAAACTTTGCCAACACAGGATGTATCATTTATTTTCATCTTTGCCAGTTTGGTAGTGGAATATGATGTCCTAGACAACCCATTGTCATATGTTGAATGTATTTTTCTCCTTTTCTTTGCCTCAGATTTGTGGTGGTGTCTATTGTTTTTTGTACTAAACTTTTTAAGTGATCTCTGATTGGTTCTTTGGCATCAGGGATAGAAGATTGCAACTATATTTTCTTCTAATGTTTTGTACTTACAAGTTTTATTATCTAAATCTTTAATTCTGGAAATTTGTTATATAATATATATTTTTTCTTCTCTAACTTTCTCCTAAATTTTTAATTCAAAAAAATACCAAGCCCTGGCCAGTTTGGCTCAGCAGTTAGAGCATTGGCCTGCGGTCCAGAGAGACCCAGGTTCAGTTCCCGCTAAGGGCGTGTGCCTTGGTTGCGGTTTGTCCCCGGCCCTGGATGAGTTGTGCAGGTGGCAACCACTCGATGTGTCCCTCTCGTGTCGATGTTTCTCTCTCTCTCCCTCCCCCCCGCCCCCCACTCTATCTGAACAAAAAAATGGGAAAGTATCCTCGGGTAAGGATTAAAAATATATATATATACCAAGAATACTTTAATTCAATACAAATTCTTCCGATTTTTGAGCAGCCTGTGTGGCTCAGTGATTGAGTGTTGACCCATGCATCAATGGGTTATCAGTTTGATTTTCAGTCAGGGCACATGCCCAGATTGTGGGCCCGATCCCCAGTGAGGGACATGCTGAAGGCAGCTAATCGATGTTTCTCTCTCTCCCCCCCCCCCCTTCATCTCTCTCTAAAAATCAATAAAGAAAAAAAATTTTTTTTAATTCTTCCACTTTGGATATAAGGACTTATTTTTATAAAAGTAGATTCAGCCGTGGAAATGAATTCATGAAACCAAATTGACCTAATTGGCTATCTTGTTTCTTTAGTGTCCAAAACAAATTATTTTACTTGTCTCTCTTCCCTCTAGAGTATCGAGATCGTTATGATTCAGACCGATACCGTGATGGGTATCGGGACAGCTATCGTGATGGCCCACGCCGGGATATGGATCGATACGGTGGCCGGGATCGCTATGATGACAGAGGCAGCAGAGACTATGATAGAGGTTATTATAAAACACCATTAAGTTAAATTGCTTTCTTTTAAGACTTCCCTTCTTGCCTTTTCTTCCCTCCACTGTGATGATGACCATTTAGGGTGTATTTATTTACAGGCTATGATTCCAGGATAGGCAGTGGCAGAAGAGCATTTGGTAGTGGGTACCGTAGGGATGATGACTACAGAGGAGGCGGGGACCGCTATGAAGACAGATACGACAGACGTGATGATCGGTCATGGAGCTCCAGAGATGATTACTCTCGAGATGACTATAGGCGTGATGATAGAGGTAATCATTTTCTTTTGCTTGCTTAATGGGGCAGACTATTGAACAAACTGATGGGAAATTTTTCAATTATGTTCAAACCCCTTAATTGAGCACAGATAGAATTTACACATTGTAAAGGACGCAGCAGAGTAGAACAGAAAGAGCATTGGATATGGATAACATAATGGAAATGAAGCAATGTCTAGTTCTAACTTCCCTTAGTATATAGATTTTTCAGTTGAAATTTATTGAGTAAACAAAGCAGAAAAGTAAAAAACCATTGTCAGACATTTTTATGGTGTGATTTCATTTAGTAAATTATACTTAAGAAATAGTACCATCATTTTTTTTTTTCTTTATTGAAGAAGGGGGAGAGAGATGGAAACATCAATAAGAAAGAACATCGATTGACCGCCTCTTGCATGCCCCCCACTGGGGATTTGGCCCACACCCTGGGCATGTGCCCTGACCAGGAGTCAAACCAGCAACCTCTTGGTGCATGGGTCGATGCTCAACCACTGAGCCACACCGGCCAGGCTGTGCCATCTTTCTAATGAAGGCAATAATAGTTTCATAGCCAGTAATTGGCACTATGGGGATCAAAACCAAGTGTTCCTGATTGCAGTGCCATTATTAATTACCACAGTAATTGGTATTCATTAATTAATACTAGCATGTCAATGCACCTGTCCTAAAATTATGCCCCTAATGTTATAACATTTATGTAAAACCTGTTATAAATTTGATCTCTCAAAAAGTATTGCTAATTGGCCACCATTTGTGTTCTTACTTTAGTGATATCATTTAAAAAATAAGATATCTGGGCCCTGGCCGGTTTGGCTCAGTGGTTGGAGCGTCTGCCTGCGGTACAGAGAGACCCGGGTTCAGTTCCCGCTAAGGGCACGTACCTCGGTTGCAGTTTGTCCCTGGCCCTGGTTGGTCGTGCGGGTGGCAGCCACTTGATGTGTCCCTTTCACATCGATGTTTCTCTCTCTCTCTCTCTCTCTTCCTCTCTCTCCCTCCCGCTCTATCTGAACAAAAAATGGAAAAATGTCCTCGGGTGAGGATTAAAAAAAAAAAAAAGATATCTGACCCAGAATTTTTATCTTTATTTTCAGAAAGCAACCCCTTGGTCAGCTCTGACTTGGTGCCAAGTGCTTTATATATATATCATCACCTGTAATCCCCAAAGTAAGGAAGATAGACCTGGATACTAACAAAACATAGTGGGGTGACAAAAGTCATGAGAGCCAAATTGAAATTATACTGCAATAACATCTCCTCCCTCAAACAAAAACAGAACAAATACAATGTTTCCAGTTTTTTCTACAAAACTTTTAATTTTTAAAAGCATTGCTGTTAGTTATTTCCATTCAGGGAACCTAGAAATAACAACTTGCATTTATTGAGTACTCTGCACCAACAAGCTGAGTTACAAGTATGATATAATTCTAAGAATTCTGTCTGGCATGTGTAGGCACAATTATCATCTTCAGTTGACTTGTGAGAAAAGTGTAGTCTCATATGTGGGCCTCAGGTCCTCTTTACTTCTGACCTGTTCCTCTCATGCCATTCCTTCCCTCTCCCAATAGGTATACACCTGGTTTTTTTTTTCTGGTGACCCCATGCCCTACTGACCTGCCACCCTTGTCTCCCAAGTCACTAGCACTGTTTTTATTCAGACTTCATTGCTATACCCACATGACTAACAAATTTTTCTGCCTCACTTCATCTTCACACTGGCCCATATTGTCTTTCAGGAATAGTGTCTAATTAGATTACTCTCCTTCTTTTAAAAACCTTCCTAGTCTCTCTGTGGTCTGAAAGATCTCTCTTTGTCTGTACTTCTGATATCCAAGGGCCTTCACTGTTCTGCCTACAGTTTACTTCAGTGTTGTCTCCCATCCCTTCCACATCTACCCTGTTAGGTGTGTGCTCAGTTTTCAAGACTCCAGTGTTAGTACTTTGAAGCCTTTATAGGGTTCCCCAAACCCAGTCCCACTGTTATAACTTTCATATGGATAAATCTATTTTGTAGAAGTTAGCACACTGTATTCTTTTTACCTCTGATCCTCCCACTAAACTGGTTTTCGTGCAGATCAGAACTGAAAACTTTGCAACCATTGAATTCCTGGCCTTAGCACGGCTTCTGAAATATAGGTGCACAGGTTATTTGCTCAGTAGGTAAATAAATGGAAGTTATCAAAGAAAGAAGAAAGGGGTAAGAGCAGCATGCATGGTAAAGATAAAATACCACGTTCAGCATAGTGGTTATGAGAAGAGAGCACAGCTAGGCACATCATCAGAGGAAGGATACTCAGGCTTCAGTGGTTTTCATAGTGTTTTACTACTTCAGCCAGGTGGTTGGTACACATGCTTGCTTGCTTTTTTTTCTTTATTGATTTTAGAGAGAGGGAGAGAGAGAGAAACGTCAATGAGAGAGAACATCAATCGGCCACCTGCATGCTCTCCACTGGGGATTGGGCCTACGACCTGGGCATGTGCCCTGACTGGGAATTGGACTGGCAACCTCTTGGTGCATGGGTCAACGCTCAACCACTGAGCCACACCAGCTGGGCATATGCTCTCTTTTTTAATTTTAGAGGAAGTTTATTAAAACTAAGTACAGTGAAACAAGAAAGGGCTGGGGAAATGAGTCTAGGCTGTTTTGGCTCACTTAAGAAGTCAGGTGGGGGCCTTAGGGACAAATTCAGGGGATTTGCCCAGGATGAAGTGCCACTGCCCATTGCTGCCTTTGTTGCAAGCCTCATTGGGTCCCTTAGAGTTTAGGAGATGGATGTCTGTGGAGAAAGAAGGAGGGAAGGGGAAGGTGCAGGAGTGCTCCTGGGAGGGGAGTACACATAGATCTTTTTACCTGCTATACCTTTTGTGTGTCTGAAATATTTAGGGTAAACACTGAATTTGGGAAACAGTTTCCTTGAACCACTCAAGTTTGTCTTGACATATGCCAACGCTTGAATCTGGGAAGAATTCAAACTCCCTTAGGGTTTATATTCAGGTGTTCAGTGTTGCATGCTGTGCCCTATGAATCACTGTCAAATTTATATACAGAGACAAGAGTATAAGAATAGAGTCTGTCCTATCATATTGCTACAAGCTCTTAACCTACTTAAGTAATCCATCTTCCATTTTTGAACAAAATATATTCATCTAGTTTATTGTAGTTGAAAATTTCTTCCCACGTAATAGTAAGCATGATAAATGATCGGTTTGCTGTGTAAATTTTTGCTATTTTTAGTCTTCCCCTTAGTCTGGTACTGCATCATGGATGTGATAGTGGAAGGATTGATTGGACTTGGTTATTTAAACCACCCATTTTCTAATCTCCCTTCTCTGCTGGATTGGCTAGGCCACTAATCTGAATCCCATGTAAAAGCTATGTCTGGGAATCTGGCTTCCAGCCATCAGCTTGTGATTTTGAAAACCTATTACTTAGAGTTTTATTTAACTTAGGTCCCCCCCAAAGACCCAAACTGAATCTAAAGCCTCGGAGCACTCCTAAGGAAGATGATTCCTCTGCTAGCACCTCCCAGTCCAGTCGAGCAGCCTCTATCTTTGGAGGGGCAAAGCCTGTTGACACAGCTGCTAGAGAACGAGAAGTAGAGGAGCGGCTACAGAAGGAACAGGAGAAATTGCAGCGTCAGCTGGATGAGCCAAAACTAGAACGTCGGCCTCGGGAGAGGTGAGGCTATTGTCAATATGAATTTCCCATCTGAATCCAGTGGTTCTTAGTGGGGACGTTTCGTCCCCAGGGGACACTTGGGAAATTTGTGTGGGTGTTGTTGGTTGTCATTTATCAGCATATGGAGAGTTTAGCCCAGTTAGGAGTGGTTACTATCCCTCAAATTTTTCAAAATACGTACTTGGTTTAACCTACAACAAATATAACTGGGTGGTACTTTAATACAGGAGTCAGCAAATTATGATCTGGGCCTGTTTTTATAAGTAAAGTTTATCTGGGCCTTTAAGAAAAATTTGCAAACCCTGCTTTGGTATATAAAGTAAAACTCCACCATGGTGAGGTGGGAAGATTTACCTCTTTACAGTTTACTAGAGATAAAGGAGAGAGGAAATGTTTACTGTTTTTTAATTTATTTTTACTTGTGTGTATGCTGTGTCTTACTTAGGATACTAAAAGGAGTCATCATAAAATATTTATTATTAAAAGATGGCATTGGCTCTAATAGGGTAGAAATCTTCTTTAACAATGTTCTGGAAAATTAGGCCTAGTTTTGAATGACTTGCAAAATTATGTTACCAGTAAGGGAGGGCAGTGTTGTAGATTATGTAGGAGAATTTTCTTAATACTAGCTGATGCTTGCTGAAATAGTTAGAACCAAAGTATCTTAATGCTACAGCTTTCAGATGGTTTGAGGAAAAAAGAGAGACAGATGCATCCACCTGCCCATAGATAAAGCAAGTGTGATAAAATATTAATAAGCGATGGTTCTTGGGGGGTCAGCATGACTTCAAGGAGGACCTCACCAAGCTGGACACATATATTTTGTTAAATCTTTTCTACAGACACCCAAGCTGGCGAAGTGAAGAAACTCAGGAACGGGAACGGTCAAGGACAGGAAGTGAGTCATCACAGACTGGGACCTCAGCCTCATCTGGCAGAAGTAAGTCAGACCAGGGTGGGTATCATATTATTGCCCTTTTTCATTCCTATTCACAACCAAATTGTGCAGAGACTTTGGGATATCAAATTTAGTTGTGGACACTTCTTTTGGGTTATCCTGGATTGACCTGAGTTTTACATCTCCTGCTCTGAAAAATCTGAGACAGGGGAACCAGAGGGAGACTTAGATGATACCATAGAGTATACTTGACTGTTATATTTGTCCATTCATGTGTTGACATCTCAGAGTTTTGTTTATTTAGAGCAATGTCTCAAGTGATGATATTCTGCTCTTGATTCTTCCTTCCTCACTTGAATTTTACTGATGGTCACAAGCATGTTTAGTACTTTGGAAAATGAATGGTTCATTTATAACACCTCCCTTCCCTTATTGTGAGCCAGTGTTTTTTAAAGTTTCTCCTCCCACCTCTAAATTGATTTGTACTTGAGCATTTGAAAACATGACTCAAGGCTGGGGTTATTTGGAAATAGTCATCCACGTGTTGTAGAAATTTTCTGGGAATTATTAATACTGGAGTACTCTTAGTAACAGGTTGTACTACCTCATTGTACCCTGGTAGGAGTATGATGATTGGGTTAATTTGTATCCCTATTGCTGAAGAGCTTGCACTTACAGTGTAAAAAGAATCTGACAAAAAAATAAGCTCCTGGTTTTATTTTATTATTAGTTTTTAATCCTCACCCGAGGATATTTTTCCATTGATTTTCAGATAAAGTGGGAGGGAGGGGGGAGAGAGAGAGAAACATTGATGTGAGAGAGACACATCGACTGGTTGCCTCCCGCACAACCCCGATCAGGGCGGGGATCAAACCAGAGACTCTGGTCTGTGGGCTGACGCTCTAACTGCTGAGCCAAACCAGCCAGAGCAAAACTCCTAGTTTTGAGGAAACATTTGGTGCTTTCAAAAAAAAAATACGGTATGTGTATGTTCTGGTTTTCATGAATGTATCAGTTGGATAGAATTGTTTTATTATATAGTGTGTGTTTGTGTTGAGCCTCTAAAGTTGATCAGTGGTTCCTGGAGTTTGCAGTTTCAACACAGGTCCCTTTTACATAGACACACACAAACACAGGTCCCCTTTACATACACACACACACACACACCATTCTCCAAGTGTGACCATTTTAACACTGAGACTAGAAAAGCTATAGTCTTAAAATAAAGAATGCTTGCTATGCTGAACGAAATAAGCCAGTCAAAGACAAGTACCACATGATCTCATTTATGGAATATCATGAACAAAATAAGCTGATGATCAAAATAGATCCAGAGACATGGAAGTGGGAAACAGATTGACAAACCTCAGAGGGAAGGGGTGAGGTAGAGGGGATTTGGGAAGAGCTAAACCAAAGAACTTACATGCATATATGCGTAACCAATGGACACACAATAGTGTGGGGAAAGCAGGAGGGGCTTGGGAGCAGGGAAGGTGAGAGGGAACATCTGTAATACTTTCAACAATAAAGATTTTTTTTTAATTTCAGAAAATAAAAATAAATAAAGAGGACTTGCTCATTCCTAGGAAAGGCTATAATTTTGGGAGCCAAATTAGAGTGTATTTAAGAAAAATAAGAGTCCGGCCAGTATGGCTCAGCGAAATGAGCATCGGTCCCATGTACTGAGAGGTCCAGGTTCGATTCCATCATCTCATGATGTGGTTGTGGGCTCGATCCTCAGTAGGGGTGTGCAGGAGGCAGCCGATTGATGTATCTCTCTCACATCAATATTTCTATCTCTCTCCCTTCCGCTCTCAAAAAAATCAATAAAAACATTTTTTAAAGAAAAATGATAACAGTAAATGCTATGTGGACTATTTCCTACTCTGTTGAGATTCTAATAGATGGTTGTACAATACGCATTTTTGTCTGATAATTTGATCTCCCCTCTAACTTCACAGATGCACGAAGGAGAGAGAGTGAGAAGTCTCTAGAAAATGAAACACTCAATAAGGAGGAAGACTGTCACTCTCCAACTTCTAAGCCTCCCAAACCTGAACAGCCTCTAAAGGTAATGCCAGCCCCTCCACCAAAGGAGAATGCTTGGGTGAAGCGAAGTTCTAACCCTCCTGCTCGATCTCAGAGTTCAGACACAGAGCAGCAATCCCCTACAAGGTGAGTCAGCTTGGAAACAGCAGTTGGATAGCTGTAGAAGCTTAAATATTGTGACGTCATGATGGAAAGTGCCCTATGGAAAGTTGGCTTTAGATAGCATCTAGCCCTGTCTTTGTTCTCATAGTGCAGGTTCAATGTATACTGGAGCTGGCTGCTAAGCACCAGGTGTTCCATTTTCTAGAGTTTTGATAGCTGGTTGACATCACTTTGGTGACTCAAATAATTGCTTTTTTTTGCTGTCTCCCATATTTTAATGTTCCATAGCGTTAAATATGTATTTTTGGTTCTTTGTAAAGCTTACTGCATTTGGAGAGTGATTATAAGTTTCTTATCTCTCTTAAGAAAACTGGTATGATTATATGTTTTCCTTCTAGTGGTGGGGGGAAAGGACTTCCAGCTCAACCATCTGAGGAGGGACCAACAAGGAAAGGTAAGACTACAAGGAGGATGGTTTTTTTCACCTAGATGCCTAAATTTTAAAGTCTATAAAGGAGTCATGAAATACTGAATTTTGGTGTATTTTGCACCTGGTTTTGTGTTAAAGGTTCTTAGATTATTTGCCTATTCTTGCCAGTAGAGGGCAGGAGTGGTCTCTAGAGAAAGTATGGAACCCTGCCCTTTCCTGGTAGAACATTTCTTTGAAGGGGGGAGAGAATCGGAAGGAAATTAACATGCTAAGTACAGATTAGAAATGTCACCATCTGCAAGGCCAAGGTCACTCACAACATAGCATTGTTGCCCTTATTACCAGTTTGCTTTTTATGATGGTGAAATCCTACGGTGGAACTTTTTAGTGGATCTTGTTTGGGGGGGGTTGTTATATATAGAGAGAGTACGTGGGAAGAAGGACTTAGGAAGGAAGTCTGGGTTGGGGTGAGGTTTAATTTCTCAGTACATGAGCACATTTTTCTCCAGCCCTTAGGAAACTTAGGAGAGGGAGAGTAATTATTTTCCTTGCCTTCGGTTTATTTTTGCATTTTTACCCAAGCAGATGAAAATAAAGTGGATGGGTTGAGTGTCCCAAAAGTCCAAAGTGGGAACTCCAGCCGTGGTCCAGGAGATGGAGGGAACAAAGATCACTGGAAGGAGCCAGATAGGTATGGGTGTTTTCTCTTGTCATTTGTAACTTTTTCTGATGCTAGACATACGTGTCTTTGTAATTAAGAAGTTCTTGGTTCTCTGTGCATTGCCAGATCTCCTACTGTGAACAAACTAAAGTCGACCAATATTGACAGTTATAATTCTGAGAATCTAGAAATAACAGTGTCCAGATAGAAAGGACTGTTGCCCTGGCTGGTTTGGCTCAGCGGTTAGAGCGCTGGCCCATGGTTCGTAGAGTCCCGGGTTCAGTTCCTGCTAAGGGCACGTACCTCAGTTGTAGTTTGTCCCTGGCTCCGGTTGGGGTCGTGTAGGTGGCAACCACTCGATGTGTCTCTCTCATGTTGATGTTTCTCTCTCTCTTCCCCCCTTTCTTCCTCCTGCTCTGACAATAAAAGCCAAAAAAAAAAAAAATTTTTTTTTTTTGGACTGTTGCTTAGAGGTGCCTGTTGTGTGCCTTGAAACTGTTTATGGGTGTTGGGAGAGTCCTCCCCTAAAGATGTGTGGTCTTATACTCACATCTCTGCAGGAAAGATGGCAGAAAGGATCAAGACTCTCGATCTGCACCTGAGCCAAAGAAACCTGAAGAAAATCCAGCCTCTGTAAGTGTCAAAGGCTTGCCCTCAACTTCCCTTAGCTTTTCCTGTTGAACCTCCCTTACATTTAGGGCTGTAAACATAGTGGTTGGACATAGTGAATATTTAGATTAGTATTTTTCTCTGTTTTTACCTTTTACTACTCTCATCCCCTTTTCAAGATGAAGGGTGGTGTATGTCTTGGAGAAGTAAGAACACGTGTGCATGCCTCTGACAGCTCTCCCTAGCTGTGGAAATGCTTCTGTGGAAAATGCTAATAAGCAAGCCAGTGGTTGCGGTCTGGACCAAAGTATCAGTATCCTGTTTCTTGGATTTTGATGTGAGAATCCAAGGCCTTTGTCACTTTATCACTCTTGTCTGTTATAGAAGTTCAGTTCTGCAAGCAAGTATGCTGCTCTCTCCGTGGATGGTGAAGATGAAAACGAGGGAGAAGATTACACCGAGTAGACCTCTACATCCTAGGTTTTTTCTGAGTCTCTCTCTACCCTGGAACATTCAAGAGCAAATCAAACCTCTATCCAGACAAGACAAAATAAAACGCACCATCTCCTGGAGACTTTCTTAACTTTTTTTTAAAAAATGAAATGAAATGAAATTCTTTTGCATGCTGCTGCAGCCTTTAAAGTATTGAACTAACTGGAGAATTGCCAATATAGCCAGAGAGAAAGACGTATTTTAGTGGAAAAGTTGTGCGTTTTTATGACACATGCAGTTGCCTGTGTGATTAGTGCCTAGGGGCCTCCGTTTAGGAAAATGGCAATGACAGTGACGCAATGTCTGGAATCTGACTGGGCAGTAGGGCAGGTATGAGGAAGAATATGAGATTTCTACCTTTAATTCTTACTATCCTAATGTGGCATATATGAATTCTAACATCTGAATAAATTCTCCATCCTTGGAAAGGTAGGTTTAGTCTCTGAAATTTTAGTCTCCAGGAGGCTGCCAGCCCCTCCTCTTATTTAATTCTGAGTTACTGGGGCCAGCCTAGGGGGAATTCCTTCATTTTTACCCCCCAGGGGGGTAGCTGGGAGTAAGTCTACAGGCCACTAAAGAATAGGACTATTTGGTGACCAAAATAAGTGGGGAAATCGTGGTTTGAAAAGAAGCTTTGGGGAGGTGATGGATTATTTTGCACCAGTAATAGGGAAAATGGTATGACCTCCAATAAACACATGAATGGTTACTTCCTGGAGCAGGAAGCACTTAGGGGGTGTGGGAATTCCCAAGTTTTTTATGTGTCCTGGTTTTGCCCTTAAATACTCTCTATCCTACCTATCCTTTCTGAAAGTTCAAGTACCCTCCTCTGTTGAAATCTTGAAGCTTTAAAAATTGACTCCTGTCGTCTTGTGTTCCTCATACTACTCTTTCCTATTACCTCCCAAAAAGCAGCTTCTGTTGAAGCCACACAAGCAGTCTCCCAGGCATCTGGATCCAGCCCCTGGGAGCTGTCAAATGAGGAATCACTGCTCTTCTCAAGTAAATCTTGGCTCCTTTGTCTTTGACTCTCCTTCTGTTCTGTCCTGCTTCTTTGACCCCTTTTACACCAAACTCTAGAATGGTCTTAGGTGGTGAGTGAGGGTGGATAAATAGGGACATTAACTGGGAGCCTTTCTTAAGACCTTGATTGGGGTTTTTGTTTGGGGCTTTTTATTTTTTGGGTATGTTGGGGTATTTTGTTTGTTTATTTTTGGGTTTTTTTTTTTTTTTTTTTTTTTTTTACAAGTTTCCTCCACTGAAATCTCACACCAATGTTTGGATTTATAATGTGGCCTAGACCAATGTGTGGTTTTGTTTTGTTTTTAGCTCCCCTTGAGAATAAATGATAATGGAGAGAACTATTGAACAAAGTCCTGGTTTCTCTTGCATTAAAATAGCTTAACTTGCCTGCTTTTATGTGCACCTTTGTACTGTCAGCCCAGTAGGTGGAATCCTTACGGGCAACATTGGTACCTACAGAGAAATGACACCTTGGTGTCTTGTTTGCGAGTCCTTCTCCCATTAGTCCTAGGTTAGCCCCTGTCTGGCCATGCAGGGGTGTTGGTTTATGAGTGCTGCAGCAGTGGACATAAAAGACATACCAAGTGAAGTAACTTTAACAATTGGTTTGGGTGGCTAGGAAATGGCTTTTAGAAAGATACACAAAGTTGAAAGGGTTTTTTTAAACCATTTGCTGTAGATGATGAAAAGGTAGGGTTTGCCCTCTTCAAGTCTACTCCTTCCAAATAGTTGTGTCCAAAAAAGCGGTTTTTTTCCCACTCTCCCTACCAAGTCCTTCATTAAAGCAGAAACAGGGATTTATGTCCTACTCCTAATACATGTAAAATTTGTACAAAAATATCTTCTATGAAAATGATTTGTAATCTGTAGACTTACTACCTGGGAGGTGTCTTGAGATGTGAATCCCATCCTTTGGGTTGTGGGTTTTTTGTTTTCTCCAAATAAATCTGATCTTTAAAGTTCATTTTATGCTGAAATTCTTTGACACACTCTGTGCTCTCAGTCCTCTTGGACTCCCCAGTAACAGTCTGCTACTCTGCCTTCCCGTCTGATTGAGTACCATTTTGTGTAAGTACAGAGGGTGGGGTTACAAAGCGAATCCATCTGGTCATTGAGGCCCAAGAACTGGGAATTCAAATCAACTCCCATCCAGCATTTTTGCTTGGTGTTAACTTTGAATATCATTTGAGCAGATCTGCTGTCCATTTCCTGTGCTGTTTATTTACTAAGATGAAGTGGGAGCTCTGGGGAAAAGGCCTCATGTCCTTGAGGCAGTGCCTCCATAAACGTCCACCCTTCAGCAGTTGAGAGATGCTGCCTATTTTCTTGGGTTGCACTGCACAGGCAGAATGGAGTCTGGGTTGCCACTGTTTTTTTTTTTTTTTTAATCCTCACCCGAGTACACTTCTGAATGTGTCTTCAGTTAGCATGGGAGGGAGAGAGGGAAGAAGAAGGAGAAACATCTCTTGTTTGTGAGACAGCGCGTGGCTGCCACCCGCACAGCTCCAACCGGAGCGGGGACACTGCAACCAAGGTACATGCCCTTAGCGGGAACCAAACTCGCGACTCTGGTCCGAGGGCCAATGCTCTGACTGCTGAGCTAAATCCGCCAGGGCTAATTTTTTTTTTTATTGATTTTTAAAGAGAGGGAGGGAGAGAGAAACAGCGATGTGAGAATGAAACATTCATCGGCTGCCTCCTGCACACCCTAACGGATCAAGCCTGCAACCATGCCCTGACTGAATGGAACCCAGTGATCTGGTACACAGGATGGTACCCAGCTAAGCCACACCAGCCAGGCTGGGTTACCATTTTTGATCATCACTCAGACTTAGTGGGAATTTTCCAAACAGCAGGGACAGACTGTTCATTGTTGCAAGGCAGGAAAGAGGTTAGGAGAGTGGCAGAGAATCCTTAAGGTCACAAGGGGGTGGAGCACAAAAAGCCCAGGAAACCTCAGTCAACAATTGTGGAGCCAAGGGGAAAGGGGTAGGGAAAAGGGAAGGGAGTTGGGAGCATAGTTACATGAGTGGCTTACCCCTGGGCCAACTGCAGCAGCTGGTCTGGTGGTTTCTTGCTGGTGCATTGATTTCTTCAAAATTAAGGGATAAGAGGCTGAGGGTGCATCCTGTCAGCGTGGGGTTAGGTAGGAAGGGTGAGGGCCCTGCCCAGGCTGCCTGTGGAACCTACAGAGCAGTGCTTGCTTAACTGGCTTCACCACAGGAATCGGTCTGTCACACTCCAAGCCATCACTTTGAGCCACACCCCTCACTGCAATGCTGATATCTAGGTGAATTGTAGAAAGTGGGAAAGGCTGACTTGTTCCTTTTGGTTGAGTACAACGGGAAGGGAAATGGATCCTAGGACTGGGCAGCCTTGGCTGACAACCTGCTGCAGATTTTAAGTAACCAGAGGGTGTAGGTATGGCATTCTACTTTACAAGGATCAATTTTAGGTTGGTTAGGTCCCATGTGTTTAACAGGCCACATAGCCTAGTTTCTCCTAAACAAAATCTAACACTAAGATCTGGATCCCAAGGCAGTGAGGGTCCCAGTTAGTGCTAAGGGCGTCACCTCAAGTGCTAAGTGAGCTCACAGCATCTGGTTTCTCAGGAAGTGGGAGAGCTACACATCTGCTCCTGGGAAGCATTATTTCTCAAATAAAACTTGTTTCTCAGCAACCATCACAGCCCCTAGGGCCACAAGTGAAGAAGGGACTCGCCTTCCCTCACCCTCCCACCTCACCAAAAAGAAGGGGTTTGGAAGAGGCGAACTGAGCTGCTCCCCGCCCAGCTCCAGCAACCTCCGGGTTGGACAATACAAGCTCTGTCCTCAGCCAGGAGGTCCGCCTCTAGAGTCAGCTCTGCTCTTCCCCCCACTCTTCTGGTTCCCAGCATCCAGCCCTCCACTGAAGTTCCCCTGACCCAGTGCTCTTCCAACCCTCAATGCCCTCCTCCTACAGTCCCCCAGCCCAAGGATCTCAGCACACTGGGCCACAGGCATGGGCTCACCCCAGACCATGAAAGAGGGGGTTCAGCCTTCAGTGCCAAGATGGGCTGCCCTCTGCATAATCAAGGTAAGAACCTGCATGAAGGGAGGGTGAGAAGGCGTTCCTAAAATTGTTTCACCTTTACTAACAAAATCCTGGCTTTCTCCTCCCTTTCCCCTTCCTTTCTGCAGCTCTTGGTCTGGCTGGCCCCATGTGCCACCCATTTGTATTTTACTCCCACCGAGCCACCTTATATATAATTTTTCTCTCTCATCCGCTTCCTTTCAGCAGCCTCCTTCCCCGTGATCTCCACATTGAGAGCAGGCATCAAGTCTGAACTGGTAGTTCAGCCAACCATCTTAGGACCCTCTTCCAATTCCTTGGAACCTCAAAAAAAAAAAAAAAAGAGGGGTTCCTCTTTAGGGGCAGCAACACCAGTTTGAGTGTTAGGCTCTAGCCCACCCACTGCTCTGAGATTCAATCCAGTGCCTCTTCACTGAGTCCCAGTCTCTCCTTTGGAACCTTTAGAGATTAGAACCTATCGCTTTAGCATGTATCTCAGGACCCAACCAAAAACTGATGAGCCCTGGGGAAGGCAAGATGTTAAAAGAACTAGCATATATTCCAAAGAAATGAACAAATTTTCGTATCACATGTATCTCAATTACTTAAATCTTGCCAAAATACATACAATGACCTTCAGCCCTGCCCCCACCCCAGTAGCCTTTGATCCCTGCTCTCCTAACTCCTGTCACTCCTCCCAATCTCTTCCCTCCCCAGCTCTTTGAGTCCCCCAGCCCCCTCCCTCCAGAACCCCCCCCCCCGTGACTGCTCTAACCACTGGACTGCCTATTGGACACCAACTCAGCCAAGAGTAGTAAGATCAAGGCTCCCTAGTCCCAGCAATATCCACCCCTCCCAAATGCCAGTCTCTGGGGAACCCACACTGTCACCATGTGCTGCTTCACAGCCTCTTCCCTGCCGCCAGATTGGAATCAGGTGCTCCACCCCCTGGTAATCAGAACCAGACTTCCCAGCCTTTGCCAAAGGCAAGATGAGCACAGAAAGGATGGAGGGCCTTAGAGTTGGTGGTCCTGGCTGCTTTGAGCAGACATTGGGCATTGAGCCCTGGGCATTGGCTCCCTCTCACAGCCGCCCCCCCCCCCCCCACGTTTTCATCATGGAAAATCCAGTAGGGAGGGGAAGAAAGGGAGAAAGCTTCAGGAAGTGCTCGTGCTCCCTGCTAAAGAACATTGGTGAATTTGGGAGTGGAAATAGATGCAGAGCTTCTAGAAATACATCCCTTTCCTTTACCTTCCCCTCCGGGGTGGCACAACTCAAACCAGCCCCATGGCCCATTAAGTCAATTACAGGAAGTTCCTATCCAGTGCCAGATTCAGACACTGCGAAAGGGAATGATGTTAAACCACAGAATGAACCTCCGCATCCATTAGAAGCCTGAGACTAGAGTTAAATGTGAGGAAGACTTTTATTAAAGTCTTCTAGGGAGTGGGAGTGACTGTCCAGCTGCAAAGCAGGGCAGTGGATGGACTGGAGTTGCTTAGTGATGGTGGAGTGTGTGTGTGGGGGGGGGGGGTGAACTTGACGTGGAGGTCCTCAGCTCTAAGTCCTTGGAGGAGAACTGGTGACACCTGAGAAGTTTCCCATGAGGCAGAGGGCCAGGGAAGGGTGTCCAGAGCCTTGGAACACAGGTGACACCAGGTATCTTTATCTAAATCTAGCGCTTCGGTGGTTAGATGGCGCTAGCCGCACCAGGCCAGGCCGCGCTGGTGGGTCCAGACTTTGCGGTCAGGCCCAATCCCAAATACACTCCTGTGGAGGGGCCGATCCGAGAGAGGCAGTTTTCTGTCCTGTTTCTAGTACCTTCTGGACCTATGCCCACCTTTTCTTCTGCGTCTGTCTGGCTTGTGTGGGTTTTTTGGCCTGTGTCCTCCGTGAGCAACCTTCCTCAAAATCCCTCTCCCCATCTCTTGTCTCTTCCCGTCTCCGAGCGCTTCTCAGCGTCTCTGCACTCCTCCTTCGCAGCTCTTTGTGAGCGGGATTTGCAGAAGGTGGGGAGAGAAGGGAGAGAGGAGGGCGAGGGGCGGGAGCGGACGGAAGGTGGGGATTGGAGCGGGGCAAAAGGGAGGGGAGCAGCGCGGGAGGGAGGAGAGGGCGGCGCGGGCGCGGCAGGGCGGGAG